AAAAAAAAAAAAAAAAATCAAACAGATCCTCAGGGAGGATCTGAGGTCCCATGGGGTTTCAACGTTCCTTTGCCAAAGCCCCTCAAATGCTTTCTCCCAGAGGCAGACCATGGCCTACAGCGTTTCAAGTCATCTTTAATGCAAGAGGGAGAGACCCCAGCAAAGTCTGGGTTGAACAGTTATGCCACAAGGCAAGGACCCCCCCCGTGTGCCCCCCAGCTCTCCCCCAGGACAGCCTCTCTGGGGGAAGCCACAGGAATGGAACTGGAGCCTGGGTCCCTGGCACCACCATGCAGGGGTCCACTCTGACCCTCAGGACACTAGATACTCTGCAGCATGCGGAGGGCGTGGTGAAGGCGCTGGCGGGTGGCAGGGGTGCAGCCGTGGTTCCGCAGGACGTCCAGGGAGGAGGAGGTACCGGGGGGGCCCTGCTCCCAGAGGGTGAGCTGCAAACCCTCACCCTCACCACTCAGCAACAGTTGGGCTGGGACTCCACTGAAGCTCATCTGCAAAGGGCGGGATGCCAGTCAAGGAGAGAAGGGTCCCCCTGCACCTGCCCCCAGCCCTGGCGCTCCGGGAGGACATGTGAACACTAGACCTGGAGCCCCCAGCCTAGGCCCAAGTGTACCACTGTACAGCTGGGGAAACCGAGGCTCCCCTGCCCACAGGCTTCCAGCAAGACCCCTCTTTTTCTTTTTTTCTGTTTTGAGACAGAGTCTCGCTCTGTCACCCAGGCTGTAGTGCAATGGCGCAGTCTTGACTTGCTGCAACCTCTGCCTCCCAGGTTCAAGCGATTCTCCTGCCTCAGCCTCCCCAGTAGCTGGGATTACAGACCCACCACCACACCTGGCTAATTTTTTGTATTTTTAGTAGAGATGGAATTTCACCATATTAGGTTGGTCTCAAACTCCTGACCTCGTGATTCACCTGCCTCAGCCTCCCAAAATGCTGGGATTACAAGTGTGAGTCACCACGCCTGCCCAGACCCCTGAGTCTTAATCCCATGACCTTGGGAATATAACCCCCTCCAAGAATGGTCACTTGGAGAGAGTCCTTTTTTTTTTTTTTTTTTTTTTTAATAAGACAGGGTTTCAGCATGTTGGCCAGGATGGTCTAGACCTTCTGACCTCATGCTCCGCCTGCCTCAGCCTCCCAAAGTGTTGGGATTACAGGTGTGAGCCACTGCGCCGGCTTTTTCTTTTCTTTTCTTTTTTCTTTTTTTGAGACGGAGTTTCGCTCTTGTTACCCAGGCTGGAGTGCAGTGGCGCGATCTCGGCTCACCGCAACCTCCGCCTCCTGGGTTCAGGCAATTCTCCTGCCTCAGCCTCCTGAGTAGCTGGGATTACAGGCACGCACCACTATGCCCAGCTAATGTTTTGTATTTTTAGTAGAGACGGGGTTTCACCCTGTTGACCAGGATGGTCTCGATCTCTTGACCTTGTGATCCACCCGCCTCGGCCTCCCAAAGTGCTGGGATTACAGGCTTGAGCCACCGCACCCGGCTTCTTTTCTTTTTTTTGGTAAGAGGCAGGGTCTTAAAAATAAAAAAGAGACAGGGTCTCGCTCTGTGGCCTAGGCTGGAGTGCAAAAGTACAATCATAGCTCACTGTAGCCTCAACCCTCCGGGCTCAAAGGATCCTCCCACCTCAGCCTCCCAAAGCGCTTGGAGGACGGGCGTGCGCCACGGCGCCTGGCCCAAAAATGTCATGTGTTTTCCATGCTGTGGTTTTTGTATTTAGGAACCAATAGTATTTATTTTTCCCAGGAGGCAGATGCTTCCTAGGGCTCCCCTAAAACCTACTCCATCAGAGCCCAGGTGGGCCAGGCCCCCACCCTGCTGAGCCCTGGTGGCCCCTGAGTTGGAGACCCGGGCTCACCTGCACCGTCCCATTGCTGAGCAGCAGCAGCAAAGCCTGCTCAGAGGCCAGGAAGCGCAGGAGGCAGAGGCCGGGTCCAGCAGGCGGTACGGGGGTGGGGAGGGTCCCCTCCTGTGGACGGACTTGGCTGAGGTCACGTGGAGCAGGGGTGTCCCCACCCCCAGCCCCCCAGCCCCCCAGGCTCTCACCTCCCGCAGCCGCCGCTGCAGGCACCTGGCAAAGAGCTGCAGCACGGCCAGCTTGGCGCCCAGCGGCCCCGGCACGTCCCTCAGGGTGAAGGTTTCCAGCCGCCCCCGGGCTGGCATGTAGCACACTTGGCTGGGGCCAGGATGCAGGGCGTCACCCTGGGCATCCCAGGCCACTGGACACCGTCTATCCCAATACACCCCCTGGAATGGCAGCTTGAAGGTCCAGCTCTGCCCTGGTCACACCTTATCCGTACGCTCGGTGCATGCCAATAAGGCCCCAATGTGCCCTCTGTCCTCCCCACTGTGGCTGTCAGCTTGTCCATCCTTCCGCCCTGAACTCCATCCACATCCGGCCCCGTGCAGCCCAGGCCTCCGCCACAGCCCCTCCCCGCTGGCCCCCATGCCACTCCCACTACAAAGACTGTGTTAAGGCTGGGCGAGGTGGCTCACACCTGTAATCCCAGCACTTTGGAAGGCCAGGGTGAACAGATCACCTGAGGTCAGGAGTTCAAGGCCAGCCTGGCCAACATGGCAAAATCCCTTCTGTACTAAAAAAAAAACAAAAAATTCCAGCCTGACCAACATGGTGAAACCCCATCTCTACCAAAAATACAAAAATTAGCCAGGCATGGTGGGGCACCCCTGTAATCCCAGCTACATGGGAGGCTGAGGCAGGAGAATCACTTGAACCCGGGATGCAGAGGCTGCAGTGAGCAGAGATTGGCTGCACTCTAGCCTGGGCGACAAGAGTGAAACTCTGTCTCAAAAACAACAAACAGACAGGGTCGCCTGGCACTCTCAGGAGCCGGGGTGGGCAGATACCTGAGGTCCGGAGTTCGAGACTGGCCTGGCCAACATGGAGAAACTCAGTCTCTACTAAAAATACAGAATTATTCGGGGGTGGTGGTGCATGCCTGTAATCCCAGCTACTTGGGAGACTGAGGCAGGAGAATCACTTGAACCCAGGAGGCAGAGGCTGCAGTGAGCCAAGATCACACCATTGCACTCCAGCCTGGGCAACAAGAGTGAAACTCCATCTCAAAAGAGAGAGAGACAGACAGGGTCTCGTTCTGCCATGCAGGCTGGAGTGCAGTGGTGCAATCATAGCTCACTGCAGCCTCGACTTCCTGCACTCAAATGATTCTCCCGCCTCAGCCACCCAAGTAGCTGAGACTACTGATGCATACCCTGCAGCTGCCTAATTTAAAAAATGTTTTTGTAGAGATGGGATCTTGCTATGTGGGCCAGCTGATCCTTTTTTTTTTTTTTTTTGAGATGGAGTTTCGCTCTTGTTACCCAGGCTGGAGTGCAATGGCACGATCTCGGCTCACCGCAACCTCCGCCTCCTGGGTTCAGGCAATTCTCCTGCCTCAGCCTCCTGAGTAGCTGGGATTACAGGCACGCGCCACCATGCCCAGCTAATTTTTGTATTTTTAGTAGAGACGGGGTTTCACCATGATGGCCAGGCTGGTCTTGAACTCCTGACCTCAGGTGATCCACCCACCTTGGCCTCCCAAAGTGCTGGGATTACAGGTGTGAGCCGCTGCGCTCGGCCGGGCCAGCTGATCTCAGACTCCTGGCTCAAGTGATCCTGGAACCCCAGTCTCTCACACTGCCAGGATTACAGGCGTGTACCACCATGCCCAGATAATCTTTAAAATTTTTAGGCTGGGCGTGGTGGCTCACACCTGTAATCCCAGAACTTTGGGAGGCTGAGGGAGTCAGATCACGCGGTCAGGAGATCGATACCAGCCTGGCCAACGTGGCAAAACTGTCTCTACTAAAAACACCAAAAATTAGCCGGGCGCCTCTAGTCCCAGCTACTTGGGAGGCTGAGGCAGGTGAGTTGTCTGAACACAGGAGGCAGAGGCTCCTCTACAAAAAAATTTTTTTGTAGAGATGGGGTCTTGCTATGTTGTCCAGGCTGATCTCGATCTCCTGGGCTCAAGCAGTCCTCCTGCCTTGGCCTCCCAAAGCACAAGGCTGCTTCTTGTCATTCACGTCACGTTGTCAGAGACCCCTTCCCCTTCCCCCCGCCCACACTACTGAGATTCACCTCCCCTCCTAGTTTGCCTCTTCACTGGGTTCGTTTCCTACAGAAAAGCACTTAGTCATTTATTTGTTTAGCGTTGTTCTCCCGACCAGATGGTGAGCCCCTGCAGGTGTGCACAGTAGATGCTTAATAAATACCTGAGAGATGAATGAAAAAAAGGGCTGGGGGGGGAAGTGCCTGGTCCCCCAGGGCACAGGAGGCCCACAACTTACCCTCCGGGGGGACGCAGGGCCATATGAGTGCCATCCCGAAGCAGGATGCCACTGCCCCCGTCTGAGAGCTGGTAGCCAAAGCCGTACTTGCTGGAATAGTCTACCCACTTGGAGGCCCAGAGGATGGGCTGCTGCTCTCCCAGGGGGTCCTGAGTGGCTGGGCACAAACAGAGGTACGCTGAGCCAGGCATCAGAGTCAGGCATATAGTAGTTGCTCAATTAATGTGATGGCCTGAAGCCATGGATGAGGCCCTTCCCGTGGCGGGGACTGGGCAGGGGCTTGGGGGCTTCAGTGGTGGATTCTAGCAGATGAGACGTCAACAGAAGCCAGGGAATAGTAACTGATTTCTGGCTTGCAGAGGGAGACTCTAGGGATCCCAGCACACCCCTGGGAATGAGCAATTCTCAAATGCTTGCAATGTTCTGAAATTACTACACGTTTCTGTTTTTTTGTTTTTTTTTTTTAGGCAGAGTCTCTCCCTGTCGCCCAGGCTGGAGTGCAGTGGTGCGATCTCAGCTCACTGCAACCTCCACATCCCAGGTTCAAGCAATTCTCTTAGCTCAGCCTCCCAAGTGGCTGGGATTACAAGCTTCCACCACCACGCCTGGCTAATTTTTGTATTTTTAGTGAAGACAGGGTTTGTGATGTTGGCCAGGCCAACATGGCCTGATGGACACCATCCTGGCTAACACGGTGAAACCCCATCTCTACTAAAAATACAAAAAATTAGCCGGGGTGGTGGGGTGCGCCTGTAGTCCCAGCTACTCAGGAGGCTGAGGCAGGGGAATCCCTTGAACCCAGCAGGAGGAGGGGGCAGGAGGTATGGGTCAGTGGAGGCTCAGGGAGAGGGAGGTGAGGAAGAGGGGCTGGGTTCTGGGACATTGGGGGTAAGGGGATCCCGCCTTGGAGTGTGGCCCGTGAGCACAGGGCTCCGTGTGATGTCCCAGGCCGCGTCTCACTTACTGGGTCTCTCTGGGCCTTCTCTTTGGGTTTCTAACAAGACCTTGTCACGAATTTAAAAGACCCCAGGCCCTGAAAGGATAAGGCTGCCCCTGGAACCCTCTGTGCCAGGCTCTGCACACAGGAGGGCTAACCCCTCGCCTGATGTCACCATGCCCAGGGGCCTCCCTCACCCCCAGAAATACCCAGGAGGGCCATGGATGGGAATGAAGGCAATTTTCCTTGGCTCCTAAGAGAATGGGTGGCCCTGGGGGCTGGGCCGGGCTCCTACCTGGAGGGCCTGCGTCCACACACAGCTGCAGGTGTCTCAGGGCTGCCTCCACCTCCGGCTGCCGGCTCCCCTCGGGCCCTGGGAGGACAGGTGTCTGTGGCGCAGACGGGGCTGGGTTCCCACCACCAGGGCTCCTCCACCCAGCCCCACTGCTGCGGCTGCCCACAGGACCAGCTCATCCTCAACCCCGAGGCTCATTCCCACTGGACGGTGGGACCCTGGCAAGCTGCAGTCTTGTTCCCCCCCGACTTGGAATTCCTCACTCCCCACCTGCAGCCCCGGGCTGGAACGGGATCTGCTCACCAGCCAGGTCACTCTGCAGGGTCCCTTGTGCAATCAGGTGGATGGGGGCTTCCAGGCAGGGAACCCCTTTCGCAGTCAGGGAGCTCTGAGGCGGGAGTGTCAGGGGTGAGGGGCTGGCCCCAGCCCCGGGGAGAGGCGTGAGGTTGGTGGGGGGCTCAGCCCCTGCCTGCGCCTGCCGTGCTCTGCACACAGAGGCACTGCTTCCCCCTGGGATGCAGCCTCGGTGTGTCTTGGAGGCATACAGTAGGCGCTCAATAATGCCAGGGACTGAAGCCATGGATGTGACCCTTCCCGTGGCCTGGAGCCTGGCCCTTGGAAAGCCCCAGGTCAGTGGGCACAGCTGGACACAGAGGGATCCCAGCTTCAGTGGGTCAGGATGGGACAGGGGAGGGGGCCGGGCTTGGAGTCCCCAGAAGGGGTTGAAGCTCTGCCCAGCGGTTCGGAGAAGCGGGCCTGGAAAAGGGGGTTCAGCAGGGGCCAAGCCTCCCTCCCCCTGTCCCTCCCGTGTCTCACCTCGCTGCCCCACTCCATGGAGTCAGGGTTGGGCCCATCTTCTCCTGGACCCGAGGCCTCTTTAGGCGTGAAGGGGCCTGAGGGAGGCACAGGCCTTGGCGGGGGGAGCCTGGGCCCCGAGCAGCAGGGAGGCACCTGCCACCCACACCCACCCCTGATGTGGAGACAGCAGAACAGGTAGCAGGTGTGTGCAGGTGGGCAGGTGTGTGCAGGTAGCAGGTGTGTGCAGATGGGCAGGTGTGTGCAGGTGGGCAGGTGTGTGCAGGTGGGCAGGTGTGTGCAGGTAGCAGGTGTGTGCAGATGGGTAGGTGTCTGCAGGTGGGCAGGTGTGTACAGGTAGCAGGTGTGTGCAGGTGGGCAGGTGTGTGCAGGTGGGCAGGTGTGTGCAGGTAGCAGATGTGTGCAGGTGGGCAGGTGTGTGCAGGTAGCAGGTGTGTGCAGGTGGGCAGGAGTGGGCAGGCGTGAGCAGGGAGCAGGGTGGCACTTACAGGGTGGCCGGCACTGGGTGAGCAGCAGCTGGCCCACCTTCCGGAAGATCCTGCCCAGAGGCGGGGGTGCAGTGAAGATGGGGGGACTGTGGCAAGAGTGGGCTGGCAGCCGGTCTGGAGTGAAACCCTTTGGATGGGAGATTTGGGGTCACCCCTGGCCTGCGGGGAAGCCTGGCCTCGCCTCAGCAGGGCAGGCTCTGGCACATCCCAAGCTGAAGACCCCACGCCAGGGACCACCGCCCACCTGCGTGAAGAAGTCGTCCTGCAGCAGGTGGTCCAGGCTGGGCCGCTCGGCCGGGTTGGGTGCCAGGAGGCGGGCGATGAGGCGGCGTGCACCAGGGGACAGGTGAGCGGGTTCGGGGTAGCGGCCCTCGCGGATGTTTTGGTACATCTCCGACAGGGGTGAGGCCGTGAAGGGCGGGGTGCCAGTCAGCACCGTGTACCTGGGCCGGGGGGGGCAAGAACCTGGCATCCAGCATCGCTCACAGCTACCCCTGCTCCATTGGCCAGACCAGCCACACAGTCTGCCTGTTCACACCAAATCCGCTTCCCTACCCCCAGCCCACCTGTTCACACCAAATCTGCTTCCTCACCCCCAGTCCACCTGTTCACACCGACTCTGCTTCCCCATCTCCCAACATCCACCTGCACCTGGCACCCTGTGCACATGGTGGACCCTGTTTGGCACACACCAGCGTCTGTCTGTCCCCTGCCTGCACCTGGCTCGCTCTGCACTCAGCTGCATACGCCTTTCCAATTCTTCTAAGTTTTTTTTTTTTTTTTTTTT